GGACTGAAAGCTGCTTTGCTAAATACAGAGCCCCCTCCACCACCACGCCTCCTCCACCTATCACCCACTAGAGCTACTCCTCTCTATGCTCGTCCCAGCCTGTGGCAGAGCGAAGGCCAAGGGCTATAGTTATAGAGCTATGCGTAGGGTATAACTGTTAGATAGAAATACGTAACCACAGACTGACCAAGGTTGCACCTCGCTATCTCCATTACTCTGGTGGGTTACATTATTGCTACCTGTGCGCGTTGGTTAGGGTGTTGTTAGAGAAGTAATGATCAGGCTAAAACAACCACCGCAGCAGCAGTATAGTAGCATGAATTGTAATGTATGTACCGCTATATATGCATGCATTACCATGTGTTCTTTGCCAGTTTTCTAATAATTGGCAATTAGCTCTAGCTGATCAAAATATGGTTATGCACAAAAATTGCCTGCATAGAACACTGCTTTGATTAGATACTTTGATGGGTTTCCGGATGAAAAACATGACGTCAAACTGTAATGTAAGCATTCGAAGTGGACTGGCTCCTACCGTCCCCGCGGCCGCCCACACAATACGGTCGATTGCTGTGAGCAACAACGTGTGGAGTCAGTCTAAATACCGTAAGCACATTGACCGGATTTTCGTCCCTAGCCGCATTAAAATTAGAGTAATATTTAAAACAGCCCGTTATCCGAAACGGCGTTCCATCTCCCACCGCTATTGCGGAGTTATTTGCCGAATAGTCTGACACCTTTTCAAATGCAATTGGCCAGTATTGTACGCGACAAACGACTTTGAGTAAGTCTAGGCACGTAATTCCGTCCGTTTGAAACGCGGGATTCGGTGGCGGCAAGTGTGCAGCGATTTTAGACAGTCTCTGCAAGTCGTTCTTGCATCACCAACTCCACTGAGCCACCACCGGGGAGGTTTGGTAGCCAGTCTAAGGTCCGATTTTAATAGCGCGAGAGATTTTAATTCCGTTTGATTTGACGCTAACGCTCGGGCTCCGCTGTAGAAGCGAAACCCCGATCAAAGCTAGGAGATCTAAGGAGATATCGCGTGCCTTGCTAAACACCCGCGGGGCATTCTCGATTCATTTAACGAGGCGGCATTTCTTCTATCAAATTTCCACATCTAGTTGAAAGCACTGCAGTATAGTGACCTGATTACGTAAGTGCGAGGATGTACAGGCAGGGATTCTGTATAGATACACTTAATGCTACTCATGCTAATACCTCCGATGTTGACTGATGCCGCGGCTAAGAGACTCAACATGTGTCTGTGTGTAACCACAGGCACTTGGACCGTTTCAATAATAAAATGATGGTTAATAAATATGCCTACAACTTGTCAGTAC